CATGTTATTGGTGACTGTGCAAGGTGTGCCGGTGTTGGCTTTGTTGGACACGGGAGCAGCATTTCAGTTATGCCTGCCGACTTTTGTTCTCGAGTGCGAAAAGCGATGACGGCCTACCTAGGATCCGCCTTAATTGGGGCCAATGGAGTGATAACTCAACCATCGGCCTAAAGTACAGCGCGTGTCTTCATTGACGGTATTCGTCATCACATCGCTTTCGCTGTCTAAATTTCATGTGCTTATGAACTAATTCTAGGTAGCGACTTTCTTCATCAGCATCTGCATTAATTTTTTCTGTCAACGTGTAGTCCATATGACCTAGATCGATCACTGCAGCAAACGCGTCGATGAGAAACCACTGCATTTTTTCTGAGCTTCCAATTCCGTACTGCTCCCGGGTCGGGAGCAACTCATCACCACCACTTCTCCAAATATTGCCAATTGTGACGTCCTTATCACCCCCTTCCATCCACTGTCTAGCTCGCGGCGTTGTACTCCCTTTCAGCCCGGTGTGGTTCAAAGACAGTGCTGCGATAATCCTTGGCCTGAACCCTACCCCGGAGCATCTCCTTCAACCCGAAGGTTCTGCAGTGTCATGTTATGTGGATACGCAACCGGCATATTTGGTCTCTCTTGACGCCTTGCCAGCTCAGACACAACAGGGCCAGCCTCTTACTTCCTCCTCTTTTCCTCCCTGGATAAATCCTGACCTGCCTGCTTCTCAACGTGAGGCGTTGTTGAATTTGCTAATGAAACACCAGGCCTCCCTCGACGACTATGCTTCGGCCCTAGGACAGACCGCAGTTGCGCAACATCGCATTGACATTGAAGGTCATACTGTTCCATGCCGTCGTCCCTACAAAGTCTCCTTGACCGAGCAAAAATTCATCGAGGAGAACGTGACTGATATGTTAAAAAGAAACATCATACGACAATCTACCATCTCTTAGTTATCACCCGTTGTGTTGGTACAAAAGAAGAATAAATCGGTATGATTTTGTGTTGATTACCGTGCGCTTAACAAGATTAACTGAAAGGATGCATATCCGATGCCCGGTATAGATGATGCACTTGACTCATTGCAATGCACCCAATACTTCTCCACCCTTGACCTTCGGTCCGGATACTGGTAAATTCTAATCGACGAAGCAGACAAAGAAAAGACTGCGTTTTCTACGCCGGACGGTCTTTACGAGTTTAATGTAATGCCATTCGGCCTACACAATGCCTCCGCCACATTTGAAAGGATGATCGAAATGTTCTTCGTGGCCTCAAGTGGAAACCTTGTCTATGCTACCTTGATGATATCGTAGTGCTTTCTTCCACTTTTCTTGATCATCTGCAACGCCTAGATGAAGTGCTCACATACCTCTTCAATGTTGGACTTCAACTAAACACAAAGAAGTGCCATTTTGGTAACACAGCTATAAAAGTTCTGGGACATTTCTTAGTAAAGATGGCATCCAGTCCGACTCGGAAAAAATTTCCGCAATACTCAGTTTTTCGTGCCCGTTTCATTTCGAAGAACTATGCAGTTTCTTTGGACTCGCATAGTACTTTTGCCGTGTCAATCGGAACTTTGCCACCACTGCCCCTCCTCTCCGCAAGCTCCTTGCTAGTACCAGTTCCTTTGATTCGAACGATGAATGCGAAGCCTCATTTCGATGACGACAGAAAATAGCGCAAAGAAACGGGGACACAAGACGAGGAACACACGGCACAGGCGCTAGCGCCTGTGTCGTGTGTTCCTCGTTTTGTGTCCCCGTTTCTTTGCGCTATTTTCTGTCGTCACAATGCACCAACAAACCCAAATTTCGACAGGGTTGAACCTCATTTCAATAACTCAAGCACGCACTGACATCCCCAGCGGTGCTTTATTGTTTCGATGGCAAGGCACCTACGTTACTACACTCTGACGCTGACGGACAAAGAATCGGCGCCGTACTCCTTCAGCGCGACCATGCCTTTCACGAGAAAGTTGTCACGTAGGCAAGCCACACTCTGACCTTTGCAGAAAAGAGGTACTCGATAACCGAACAAGAGTGCTTGGCTGTTGTTTGGTTCATCCAATACTTTCGTCCGCATCTACATGGTCGACATTTTACTGTTGTGACAGACCACCATGCACTTTGCTGATTGTCGACGATCAAAACTTGTCGAGGCGACTCAGCCACTGGATTCTCCGGTTACAATCATATGATTTTGACGTCATTCACAAGACCGGAAGAGAATAACCAAGATGCCGACGCTTTGTCACGATGCCCTTTGCCGCAGTCTTCGGCGCACGTTGGATTCCCTTGTCAAATTGGCTATGGGTAGGACGCCTAGTCGATATTATCCATTTCTTCCCTACCTTCATCCACTCGTTCTTCAGTACTTACCACTCACCAACGAGCTGATTCTAATTGCACCGACCTGAACAGTCAGCTTACCGGTGCTTCGTCTTCACCAAATGTCAGGCTTCGGAAACAAGTCCGACTATTCAAGTTGGAGGACGATGTGATCTATCGACATATTTTCCACCTGGAAGGCCATCATTGGGTTTTCGTCGTACCACGCGCACTACGCACTGAAGTTCTGCGTCCATTACACGACACCTGACGTCAGGCCGCTTTGGTTACTACGAAACCCATGAGCGCATCCGCAGTCGATTCTTCTCACCAGGTCTTTCCATGACGGTAGCTAAGTATGTTGCCTCGTGCGCACATTGCCTACACCGCAACCGGCCCACTACTGCTCCAGTCGGGACTCTACAACCACTTCTTTGGCCAGCAGAGCCGTTCTCTGTCGTCGGAATTAACCTCTTTGGGCCCCTCCTAATTACATCATACGGCAAGAGATGAATCATCACCACGGTTGATCCCTTGACCCGGTATGCTGAGACAGCCTCGATCACTTCAGGAACTGCTTGCAAAATAGCAACTTTTTGCCCCGCCGCGGTGGTCTAGTGGCTAAGGTACTCGGCTGCTGACCCGCAGGGCGCGGGTTCAATTCCCGGCTGCGGCGGCTGCATTTCCGATGGAGGCGGAAATGTTGTAGGCCCGTGTGCTCAGATTTGAGTGCACGTTAAAGAACCCCAGGTGGTCTAAATTTCCGGAGCCCTCCACTACGGCGTCTCTCATAATCATATAGTGGTTTTGTGAAGTTAAACCAAACATATCAATCAAATCAAAATAGCAACTTTCCTCTTGAGTGCTATTTACCTACGTCACGGGGCCCCTTGTGTTCTTTTGAGCGACTGAGGCACGGCATTTCTTTCAAGAATGCTCAGTGAAATTTTTCAAGCATTAAAAACAGTTCATGAAACAACATCTAGCTATCACCCACAAACCAATGGCTTAACGGAGAGATTTCATCGCACGCTGTGAGACATGCTGTCTATGTATATCCGACATGACCATCGCAAGTGGGATGCCATTCTACCCTTTGTCACGTATACAAATAATACGTCAGTTCAAGGAAGTACAGGCTATTCTCTATATTTCCTAATGTATGGACGCCAACCGCCATCACCACTCGATGTTTCTTTCTTTTCTGGCCCCGTCAAGTCTTCAACATTTGTTCGCGACCAGTTTCTGTCCCGTGTTGCTCAATGCCGTCGTCTCGCCCATGTAAACACCGAAGCTAGCTGAGAAGATAGCAAACATCTTTACGATGCTAATCACCGCGTCGTTCTTTACCGTCCTGAAGACGATGTACTTCTGTGGACTCCTGCACGAACGCCTGGCTTATGCGAGAAGCTTGAGTCATGCTACCTTGGCTCCTACAAAGTTGTCCAACCAACCTCACTGGTGAACTACCGTGTCACACCTGCTCATGCCGCCATTGACCAACGCTGTCGCGGGACAGAAATTGTGCACTTTTCGCGTATCAAGCCCTATCGTATGCGTCCCACAGCGTCATTCGCGGCCAGGCTGGCCACTTCCGTCGACGGGGGAAATTAGTGTAAGAATTCATTGGATTTCAGCTTCCTTATCTGTAAATAACCATCATCAGTCTGCACGTCGTTCCTGCACGTCATCGGTGCCATCTTGCTGTTGCTTGAATAAAGCGTCAGCTGAACCGTGGTATTTGAATATATTGTTCCTAATCAAAAGATCCTTAATATGTTTACAGAGTTGACAGCTGCTGGTCTAGAGAGCTCGCGACATAGCTCCACGCTTGGTCTCGTGATGCAGGTAAATTGAGAACTGCCAGCCTCACTACAAGTGTGGCCATATCCCGAAATGGCATTCAGTATGTAAGCAGATTTCCATCCGCAACAATAATATTTCTAAACTAGAATATACTACAGCTGTGAGATTCCAGCTATGATAATCTAATGATTGCAACAATTTGCGTACATCGCGCATGTTGTGTGGTGAAAGTAACTACCAGGTGGCACAGATAATAATAGTGGCATAGTGAGTAAATACGAAGTGCATGGGGCGCACTTTTTGTCCATAGGATCTTCTTTAAATGCATATTTATATGTCATAAAATGCTGTAGACTTCATTGCCGCTGTGTGTTTTTTGTTTAAATACACGAAAAACATTAGATAGGTGCTGGTATTTCTTTCGCCGTGTTTAATATTGAACTTGCAATCTAAATACATCCACATATTTCATGTTACGTTTCCTTCATGTGTTGTTAGATTATTACAATAATGTAGTTGACGTCTTGCTTAGAGCCCCTGCACAATTTTTACTCTACATGAAAGTGAGAGCACCCACTCGCATTGCAGCCGCTGCCATCTCGGTGACATCCCAGTGGAAGCCTGATGGGACACCTTTCGGGCTTTTTGATATTCTTATGATTATATTTTGTGAAAAAGTATCTTGAATAGAGAGTTGGTGATTAAGTTAACGAACAAAAAAAGAAATTTAGTTTATATTCAATATGTTGATAGCTCGTTTGCTCATGAAAATGGTTGTAACTTCACTGATCACCATCATTGCATTTCATGCTTTTGTTGCTTAGTAATTTGGTGACTTCACTTTCATCTACGTTTCAGCACCCTTCAGACTAGCTGCTTCGATGGAACTTTCGTCTACGGCAACGGTAAAAGCTGCTATTTTGGTTGTTATTATTTGGCTGGTGATTGTTTCATTGAAGAAGGCGTTTGGAAGACCCAGTGGAAGCATTCCCAATGGCGCCCGTCTGCCTCCTGGGCCCTCAAGCCTACCTTTACTGGGAAATATCGAAACCCTGATTAATGGCCTGAGTGCTTGTCGTGCACTCGCCTGGTCCCGTACATACGGGCCGGTTATCAGGTATCAGTACATTTGTTTGGAACTCTCTGATCAGAGAGTTCCTGGGCATTATTTTGGCTTGCCGACAATTGCAGGATCAGTTACGGCGATTTTCATTTTATTATTCATGCTTTATTTTGTAGCTTTCTCCCAAAGACTCCTAAATTGAATGCTAATGCCGTAACCTATCTTGCCATCAATGCAACCACCATTTATCATTACAAATCGTGGCGTCCCTCGAAATTCCTCAAGATACTCAAAATTGCTCAGCCTTGTTGACGTTCTTCAATCAACCTCCATGCACTGCCATTGAACTTAGAGGGCACAGGAGTGGTCATTATTATGCTTATGCCAGCACTGCAGGATTGCAGACTCCTGGGCTATGCATGAAAAGAAGACTGTGGGGTGGATTCCAATCATACATGAAATGCGGTGCGTTGAAGAGTGCCTCGTCTGTTAGTTTAAATTGCACCATGTGAATACTGTTTATAAAATATGTTCTCTCTTCAACTCGTCGTGATAATGCTTCGTGCACGACTCCTACTCGAGGTCTTACCGGCTACGCTAGAGCAATCGCAACAGCTGTCCCCTCACCCCTCTCTCCCTGCGTTGCTTTTGGACACTCGTGAGTATAGGAAAGGCGAGAGACAATTCTTCGTACCTCTGCTGAAACAGCTTGCGACAATTCTCTGTAACGCTGCTGAAACATCACGGGGACGAAAAATGTCCCCGGCAATCGATTTCCGACTGCACTTATGAAGCTACTTGATAATATTTAAAAGCATGTTGCAGCGTCTGTTGAAGAAAGTCACATGACCCACACCTAACGCTATCACACACAATTCAGCTCGTAGCGAGCTTTTCGTGAATATTTGAAAATTTCACTTAGCACCAGTATTCAACATTTCTAAATATGGGACGGACTCTCCTCATGCATTTCTAAATATCGAGCTCGATGGCTGTATGTTAGGTATTTACGGTTCAGAATACTGACGCTGCTGATTATGCATTCAGGGTTGAATATTTGAATATACAATATATATATATATATATATATATATATATATATATATATATATATATATATATATATATATGCGCACTGGCTCCGTAGTAAAAACGGAAGCGAGAAAGCACGACTTACGAGGAAACATTTTTATTAATCATATATATATATATATATATGCTATACCTGAAGACTTGATGATCTTTTGTTAATGGGCAGGAGTAACACGTGCCAAATATGTGGCAGCAGAACATTCTTGTGAGTCGTATGGCGCCGAGCAGTAACTCTGTTCACATTATCTTTTTTATCAATACAGAGTTATGGCTGGCACGGACTGAAACAATTGTATTAAATGACCTGAACTGATCCGAACATTCCTGAACCACAAGGACCTGCTTTATCGCCCTAGAAGCTGGATCCTGAGTGAAACAGTTGAGATGGGTAAGCTTTTCCACTTTGTTAGATATAGAATAAACAAAATGTATTTTACGAGACAAACATCTCAGTACTAACACATTTTGTAGTTCAGCTGCCAAAGTGTTCTTCTTTTGCTTTCCATAAGTTGTCCATGGTTCTCATAACTACGATCAGGAAGAAAAAAGTTCTGTTGCCAGAACACCTAAACGAAAACTGAAGGATTGCAAAGAATGAATGGTATCGGGGCTTAAGCGAACAAATTATTGAATGATTACATACTCTAAACACCAATGTCGTTGTCATACCAGGTACTCAAAGGATCTCCATGATAGAATGGTGCCTACACTGGAGCTGAGCTACCAAAGTCATGTGCAAAATGTAGTCCATAAACTCCTAAGAAGACAATTCCTCTACTACTGTCTCCTTTTGAGCTTTGTAATCACTTATGACATCGAAAGACAGTCAATCTTGCCTGCAAGTAGGAAAAAATGCAAGTAGAAAAAAAACACAGGAAAAACGTGGACAACAATCTGGCGCTACGTCCATTGTCCTCTCTTTTTATTGATATGTAGTTTTTGCAATATAATATTTTAATAATAATGAATAGGCCAGTGTAATAGCAGTTAAAATGCCACGTGTACCACGGATAAAAAAGAACTAATGGAAAAAGAAATGCATGTTCCATCTGCAAATGAAAGTTCTTGGCGAATGAAAGGTTCATTTACCTAAACTGTACGTGTATACACGTAGATAACAGCCACGTCGAAAGGATAGCACGGGAGGGGTGATTGAAATATAGAAATTACAAATATTTTTATGCTCAGTCGTCAACAAATATAATGAAATTTCCAGCTATTATGGGGTGCATGTACTAGGGTCAGAAATTAATTTCAACTCACAAGCAATGCCGTTAACCTCCAGATGTGAGCGGCCATTTCATTTCATCTAGCCGTGAGGAGAGCTCATAATAAACTGCAGAAAACAAAGAAAACGGCAACGAGATATGATGATCTAATTAGCGACGTTTTTTTCTTTTGCCGCCTCTTGCATACTGGCGAGATATTCAGTTGCAGAGGTCTTGTAATTATTCAAAGTAGGTTTTTCGGAACGTTAGTGAAGTAACTAAAAAGATTGGCTGAATGTTACACTCTAATACTGAAAGGCAAAAGCATGTTGCTTCATTTGTAATGCAGTAATTGATCCAGTCGGAGTTCACACTTCTTGCATGACGTTGGGGAGTCAGAGCCTGAGAGACACTTGCTAATAAATTTTGACGCTGAAGGTCAATTACAGACTGTAAGTGAACTAAGTGCCCCCACAGACTTTCTGCACATACCATTTCTGTACATACTTTCTGCCCATACTTTCTGCACATACCAAAAAAAAAAAAGAAAACAATTCACACAAAAAAGTTGCGTAAAGCGTATTGGCACTACGTATAATATTTTCCTCCCCTCTTTTTTTGTTTTTTGCTGTGAAGGGGTGTTTTTTTGTTATATACTCGTAATGTTCGGGGATATACAAGTATACGTAAAGTCAGCTTAGCTCTCACGACGTTAGACAACATCTGTGACCAGGTTGCCTTCATCCTAGCCATTTTATCATGCGATGATGTCATTACGTGAGTCCAGATGCATTAGGTCACTGCGACACCCTCCTGTGGTGAAGCCATTGCATGTGATCACCAGTGACGGAGGCTAGGCGGACTTTTAGGAACTTGTCCGGCAAGATCCTATTGCTCGCGGCTTGTCCGACGGCGGCTTCCGGCGTGTGCCCCGGTGTTTCAAGTGTATTCTTCTCAGGTCGCCGCTCAAGGTCGATATTCTAGCAGCCTCTCTAATAATTCCAACAGTGCGAGGTGGAGCGCCACCAACCAAGACGTCAGTTTTCGATAGCTCGTGTGCTCCCCTCCTTACAAATACGTCCACTATGTTCTCGTCCCTTCATAGGCACAGCAGCACGTGACGGATTTATACGATAAATGTTACACACAGGATACCGATATTCCTCCCAGACCCCTCACCTGCCTGTTCTCAACCCAGGCTGAAGAACGCCTGATAGCACCACGCCTGTCATTTATGAGCGTCAGGCATTTGACTGGCGGCAGCGGCCAGCTATGACATAAAGAGGCTGGTGGTTAAGCGCCGACCGACGTGGCAATACTGTGCAATGCCGGCCGCAGAACGTGCCCCACAACGCCGTCGTGAAGGTACACCTTGCATCATGCGCCCTCTTGTTAACGAGCAATCCTACAGAAATGGTATCGCCAAGGAACCTACAAGAAAGCTCCTCTAACATCATCCACTTCGGAGATACGGCAGTGATTTATTTTTGCCTTCCGTATGACTGCTAAAAAGCCTCTCCACAAAGCACTTAGGTGTTTGCCTAAACATTAGAAGCGGCTGCTGCATGCCAGTCGTGAAAATAAAGCCCCAAAACTTCATGAACGGTATCTTTTTCATTCTTAGTTTATGCGTTTGAAATTCGTGCGAACAAAGTGAAATACAGTGAAGCCTGCGAATGACAGCAGCTTGCGCTTTCTTGGCGTGCTCAAACATGTGTGCAGCTTTGGTACTTATTCAACATCGTTATCTACTTCGTTCATTCTACGTCATTATTAAGTATTTTTAGTGTAATGCGCTGTCCTTCGCCACGATTTTGATGCTTTCTTTCTTAGGCTTTTAAGGCGAAGGAAATGTCACCCCTCACTTAAATGAACTATAAATGATCCGAGACTAAAACTATTTTGTAATGCATCGCTACTTTTGTACGATAAACATATGGACACGGAAGTTCCCTAATGCAGCTTAACGGACAGCTTTGTCTCATCGAAGAGTGCAGCAAGCAGGAGTCGAAAATTATACGCAGAGCTCAGTGAAAAAAAATAGAGGCCTGCTATCAGTTCATCTTATTGTTGCGAAGCTCATTACTGTAACATAGCACGCCGATTGGTTCTCGCTAAAAAGATTCTGTCTGCCATCTGGTCATCTTAGAGAGAGGGGCCAAGTCTTGCCATACCTTTATTCAGTTATTTGTATAATATTTTGGTCGATGATGGCCACCGAAGGCCTCTGACGTTGCGATTCAGTAACAGTTCACTTTCCACACGATCTTCAGGAAAGCCAGAGATTACACGACGCGATTGTGCGAAGGTCATGACTGCTTCACTGACATTTTCCTTGAATTGTGAAGTATGTTGCTTCTTAGATATGCTCAACGATGTAAGGAGCGCTGCAGGTTAACTTTGTCCCCTCCCCGTCCTAAATAGGTTACTCTATGCGTACCTATGACGTTTCTTTTCGCAAGTTATAGGGTAAGCTAGGTTTCTGCTCTTCGATACACACGACGCTGTGCTTCAGGAAAACGGTAGGCAGCTTGACCATGAATGTGGGAAAGCATTCTGCAGGTGTTTATTTTGCTCCACGAAGGCACGATCTTCATGAGTGAATGTCGTCGCCTTCTTGTGTTGTTCATCGGAGCAGCTCTATTATCTGTGGTACCGCACTCAAAGTAGTAGGTGGTGGAGAAACGACGTTGAGCATGGAGAAGCTGCCCTACTATAAGAACAAGCTGTTAAACAATAATACCACGCGAAAGACAAATGAAATAACTTCAAAGTTGCATACCTTCAAATGCAGTGACCATCCTCGCTGCAAGCTCGTCCTGCGTGCATTCACTAGCACGCAGTCGCCTTAACTTCATCACCACTAAATCACTCCATAACGGCCTTCTTTTGGTGTCTTGACGCAATAGTTCACTTCACCGCTAGCACAAACTACATAGCCTGCAGAGAGAATGTGTGAGAGTTATAGAGAGAATGTGTGAGAGTTATAAAGTGGATGCGTTTGGAGCGCCTCATATCTGCGCGCTGGTGGCAGAGTAAGTAGAGCATCTCGCACCTATCGCCACCTACCAGTAAGTTGTAGCTTTTATTAGTAGGTGTCTCTTTTTCATTCATTTGTATACATTTTGCCAGCATTGAATCTGTGGCATAAACGCGTCACTGAAAACATTGATGGACCCCGGCATGAAACGCCTAATTTTTATAAAGGTACATTTCTATGAAGGCACTTTTCTCTTATATAGTGGTAAAATAAAAGCCTACAGCAGCACATATAAAGACAATATAGACTTTTCAGCTAATCAAGAAATGACAAAGTAACGTTTTCTAAGCAGCTTTTAGAATAGTTTGCTGAAGAATACCGAATGCCACAAAAAAAAAATGCCATAACGCCGCGCTGAAGCGTCCCCCTCCCCCATGCCCCCCCCCCCCCCCAAAAAAAAAACGGAATATAGTTGTCTACAAAGATATTCTATATGTGGTCGTCCCTTATAGATCACCCAGGAAAGATTTTGCACCCGTGTGCTCCGTTGGTTACCCATCCTCAAATTGTGAAGTGGTGTAAAATATTGCACGTATTTTGCGTGTATACATGAAAGTGCACAAACAGACGCGGTAACATGCACATGTTGTTTGAATCCCTGTTTACCTCCAGACTAGATTTAAAGTTCAAGGTTATCAGGTTTTCTGCGTCCCCTTCATAGTTATAGCAAGAGAGACAGGGACCTGTAAGTAAAACGTACAGTTCATTTACGAATTTATTACTTTAGAATATTATTTATTAAATGCGAAGGATTTCTTAGTGATCTACGGCGACTTTGAGCGGATCTGTCTGTCTATCTCCCCGCCAACGGCTTTTAGCTCTGCTAGCCGTTTCGATAATGGCATCGATACCAAACTTGCTATGGCATAACATGACTGTATTAAGAACATATTTGGCTAGTCATAACATGAAAATCCTAAAATGTTTGTTATGAATGTTATGATTTACATATAGTGGTCCTGCAGCTGTTGCGGTTTTGTTTACATGGCATGTTTCGAAACTGGCATGGTATGGCATGATAGCATGGCGAAAACAAGCGACAGACCTTAACTTGAAAATCATGACATGCGTGTCACGTAACAACACGACTACGCGCCACGCTCATGATGCGCTCGCAGCGTTTCGCTAGCGTAACATGTA